ATAGATCAGAATAGAGAGCAGACTACAGACAGACTATAGACTAAACACCTGACTGTTGATCAGACTAAAGAACATATTATAGATTGATCTATAGATTAGACTATAGATAAGATCAGACTATAGATAAGATTAGAGATCAGACTACAGATAAAATGAATATAAATCAGACTATAGATCAAACTATAGACCAGACTATAGGCCTAGCTAAAGATCAGTTTATTGTTTAGACTATAGATTTGGTTGTAGATTAGAATACCGATCAGTATAAAGAGTGGACTATGGATCAGAATATAGATCGGATTATCGAGCTCACTATAGACCGGGCTATTGCTTAAACTGTAAGACTATTGGAAATATTATGTATCAGACTATAGGTGTGACTATCGCTTAGTTTATTGTTCTGATAAGACAATAGATCAGACAGTAGATCTGACTTTAGAACAATCTATATATCAGACTACATATCAAACTATAGACTAAACTATTGATCTGACTGTAGATCACACAATATATCAGAGATCTGTCTGTCAGTCTAAAAAAAATCTTTTCTTTAGAATAGTTTCTTTGTTATGCTCTTGTCTAAAGAAAAAGAGTCTGTTGAGCGACTTGTCTATAGAAAAAGTGTCTTTTTAGATATTGGTTTGTGTAACAAGTATTAAACCCGATTGATAACTTAACAATTATCTCAATATGACTCAATCTAAAGTTATTTTTTTTAGCAATTAATAAACTATTTTACAAATCTTTAAGCATTTCAATGTAATTAATTATTTAATTATAACCAGTAAATAATTATGTTTTTTTTTTATAAAATTGTGGCAATTAAAAGTTATAGAAAATTATGGTTCAGACCACTTTCAAAAGAGAATTCTAATTTATGATTAACACAGCAATTTTTATGTTTAATTGACAATTTATGATTAGATTTTGAAATGGTATGAGAACTAATATTAAACCAAATTGCTTTAAAGATCATGTTACTCATACGCAACCGGTGACGGAGGACATAAATCAAAATTTTGTTTTGAATTTTTAACAAATTTTTAAATAATTTAATTTAGAGTTCAATATGGAGTTTTTGTTGTTTGACCGCCAAAATGTGTTGACATGTTGTGCGGTGCGATTGAAAAGAATATATTTGTTTTTGTTGTTGTTGTTTTTTTTTCTTGCTTTACGGTGGCAATTTGTTGCTGTTTTCAGGTGTAATGTTTTTGTTTGCTGTTGTGTCTTTTGTATCTATTAGATCAGTGTTTTAGTTTGTGTTTTTTTTAAGATTTTTTTCAATTTTAACCTTGAATTTGTTTTAAACCAGAGTTTAGAACAAGTGCAGTTAAAATTTATTTTTATTATTTTTTGGTTTACACAACAAGTTTGGTTTGGTTCTATTCTGCTTTGTTTTGGTTTTGTTGTTAAACAAAAAATGCAAAATAATTATAATAATTTTAAGAATTTTTCTATTGATTTAAAAACCCGCTTAAGTGGGTTGTGGTGGTGGCAGTTTAAACGAGGCCATGGTGAAAATAAGGTTCAAATTTTCAAGGTTTTTTCGCCAACAAGTTTAGAACAACAACAACAAACAGAAATTTAAAAAAAAAAATCCTAAAAATTAACTGGATTTAACTTCAAAACTATGTTCCAAAATCAGTTTCCAAACTTAAAGTTATTTTTCTCACCATCATTAATCATCTTAAACAAACTAACAATTTTTTCTAAAATATTTAAATTTTATATTCAAAAAATTATTCTTAATTAATATCTACTCATCTATTTCTATTTTTATTTAATTCTGCGACGTCTCTAAGTCTACGAACTCTTCTTTTTTTTCCATTATAAACCTCTTATAATTTACATTTCTTTATGGCACGTGTCTGCCTAATAAAACATTGATTTTAAATTGCCATTTAATTTTCTGTTTAGTAGCGCTTTCTATTTCTAAGCTGGTAATAATTTTCATTAAGTCTTTTGTTTTTTTCTCTTCAAAATTAATCACTTATCAAAGATTTCTTAATAAAAATTTGTTATTCTAATTTATACAACATGGATTAATACGTTTAAAAACAGGTCAGGTGGAGTATTTGAGGCGTCATAAGGCACCGTTGTTTGTCTTAAAACTTTTGTTATGTTAAAATGTGAAGAACATTTTCTGTAACAAAAGAACATAATTCTCTATAGAGACTTTTACCAAAAAGATATTTTTCTGCACTTTTTGATAGAAATATTAAAGATCAAACTATAGAGATCAAGCAGGCCATTGATCAGACTATAGATCAAACAGACCACTGAGACTGATCAGACTGTAGATCAAACATTATATAAAACAATACATCTATAGACCAGTTTATAGACATAACTATGTCTCAATATATAAAATAGATCACACAAGAGATCGAGCTAAAGATCAGACAAAAGAACCGGCTATACACATTAGTATGGATCATATTATAGTTCCGACTATAGATCAAATATATGATCAGACTATGTACACACTAGACTACAGATAAAGCAATATAAAATACTACAGATCCGACTGTAGATTAAACGAAAGATCAAACAATAGGCTAGACTATAGATCATACTAAAGATCAGATTACAAATCAGGCTTTAAACCTATCTACAGACATAACTACAGATCTGATTAAAAACCCTATTTGTTGAACAGACTATTGATCAGATAATACAGCCAACTATTGGTTTTACTATAGAACAGATCTGACGGAAAGTCCCACACGACTATAGATTAGAATATAAAATATACAACAGACCCTAATATAAATCAGACTATTGATCAGTCTATAAACGAGATAATAAATCAGATTATTGATCAAACTATAGATCACATCATAAACCAGGCTATGCATTAGATTGCACATAAAATTTTAATACAGACTAAAGATTTCACCAAAGAACAGACTTTAGATCAGACAACAGGTTAGTCTATAGATTAGAGTCAAGATCATACAATAGACCAGTTTATAGATCAGACTTTAAATCAGACTATAGGCTATGACAGATCAGATTATAAATCAGAATATAGATCATATTATAGATCAGACTAAGGATCGAATAAACTATATTAAAGATCTTAAGACTTAAGATCATACAATTGACTATTAAGTAGCTCAGACTATAGATCAAACAAAAAAAAACAGACTATAGATTATATTAAAGATCAGATTATAATCGCGACTATATATCAGACTACAGATCTGATTAAAGAGCATTCTTCAAATCAGACAATAGGCTAGTCTATAGATGAGTCTAAAGATCATACACTTGACACGATTATAGATCAGACTATTGATCAGATTGTAGATCACACTATAAACCATACTATAGGTTAGACTTTAGATCAGACTATGAGTAGAACAGCTTATGGAAAAGCTTATAGATCAGAATATAGAACAGACTAAGGATCAAACAATAGACTTGACTATATTATAGATCAGATTATATTATAGATCAGATTATATTATAGATCAGATTAAAGACCAAACTTTATATTAGATAATAGGCTATCTATAGACTAGATTGGACCAAATAGCATACAAAAGACCCGATTATAGATCAGTATATTTAGATTGTAAATCAGACTATATACCAGATTATACTATAGATCTGAATTAGGATTAGAGTACAGATCAGACTAATGATCAGATTATAGATCAAATACTAATGATCATACAATCCACCAGACTTTAGATCAGATAAAGCTCATTAAGTAGATAAGGCTATGAATCTGAAGAAAACTGTTATACACAGATTTTCTTCTACATAAAATTTATTGTAGAGAAAACGGCAAAAAAATGACAGATAAAACTGTTATACAGATATTATCTATAGAAAAACTGATATACACAAAATTTCTTCTAGAAAAAACTGTTATACATAAAATTTATTGTAGAGAAAACTGCAAAAAAAATGTCAGATAAAACTGTTATACATAAATTTTCTATAGAGATACTGTTATACACAAAATTTCTTCTAAAAAACTGTTATACATAAAATTTATTGTACAGAAAACTGTTATACATAAAATTTTATCAAATGAAAACTGTTATACACAAAATTTCTTTTAAAAAAACTGTTATACATAAAAATTATTGTAGAGAAAACTGCAAAAAAATGTCAGATAAAACTGTTATACACAAATTTTCTATCGAGAAAACTGCAAAAAAATTTCAGATAAAACTGTTATACACAAATTTTCTATCGAGAAACTGTTATACACAATTTTTTTTTTTAGAAAAAAAAACTGTTATACATAAAGTTTTATCCATTGAAAATTGTTATACACAAAATTTCTTCTAAAAAACTGTTATACAAAAAAATTTATTGAAGATAAAACTGTTATACACATATCTTCTATAGAGAAACTGTTATAAATTTGTATCCAGTGAAAACTGTTATACATAAAATTTCTTCTAAAAAACTGTTATACATAAAATTTTATCTAGAGAAAACTGTTATACATAAAAATTTCCTTATAAAAACTGTTATACAAAAAAAATATACTCTAGGAAAGCTTATAAATGAAATTTTTTATACAGAAAACTGTTATACCTAAAATTTTCTTTAGAGATACTGTTATACAGAAAAATTTCTCTAAAGAAAACTGTTATACATAAAATTTTCTCTAGAGAAAACTGTTGTATATAAAATTTTATCCAGGAAAAACTGTTATAAGCAAAATTATTCCAAGAGTAAACTGTTATACAGAAATAGTTCTCTACAAAAACTGTTATAAAAAATTTTTTCTCTAGAAAAAACTGTTATAAACAAACGTTTTTAATAAAAATAATGTTATTAACAAATTTTTGTATTGAAATACTATATTTTCATTCCACTTTTAGGACCTTAAACTTTGCTATTTTAACCCTGGCTTTCAATGTCTGTCTTTTTACTTATTTTCTGTTTTCTTTTATAAACTAAAAGCTTTTTTTAATTATTTTAACTTTAATAAGTTTAACATTAAATTTTCTTTTTTTTCTTTTAAATTACAGCTTAATCATACCAGTGATAATGTTGGTCAAGTCTTTCAAGATGAAGAAAATATGGCAGCAATTTTAATGAGACGTCATGAAGTAACCGGCGATTTAGTAATGGTAAGTAATTGCCAACAATATATAATAAGTATTTTAAATAGAGGGGGAAAAACATTATAAAAAAAATATTAAAACAAATTACTTGAAAATATAACTAAACAAAAAAAATAATTGTTTAAAGTAAAAGGTGGTTAAAAATATGAAACAAACAACAAAATGACCTTGAAAGGCCGGTAACAATTACAAGAAATTAAAACACAGTTTTTTTTTCAAACAACCGAGAAACCATTGAATAAAATTGTTGTCAAAATATTAATAAATTTATGAATAGAGGGTAACACAGCTACCATAAGCGATATCCAAGTTATAAGATAAAGAACCTCATTAAGCCATTGTTTGGTTTTTTATCTAGAGTTTATCTTAATAATATAATTTTTTTCTTTGAACCGTTTGAACACATGTTTGTGGCAAACAATTTACTGAAATTGTTTAAACATTTTATAGAACGTTTTTGTTTTATATAATTATTTCTTGTATTATTTTATTGAGTGGGAAGTTATTAACTAAAACTCACCTTAAAGACATAATTGTTATTTGCATTTTGGTTTAACATTTGTTTCAATTTTTTTTTCTATTCAATGAAAGAAATCAAAACCACTCACGTTTTTAGGAGACAAGAGCGTTGCCAGTTGCTAATGCTGGAGGAGATTCTGAAATAGAGAAAAAAGATAAAAGTTAGAAATGGAAATGGAAATAACTAGCAAGATATATACAAGATACAACTCTATAGACCAGACTATAGACTAGACTACAGACTAGTTTTTCTCATAGACTTGTCTTTAGTCTTATCTATAGAATCGTCTTTATTAAAAACCCCCTTCATTATTATAAATTCTTTAAGACCACGCCTCTGCTTTTTTTTTGTAATTTCAGTTTTTGCTTAAGTAGTTCTTTAATTTATTTTAAACAGTATTTATGAGCTAACTAATAAGAACATTTTGTAAAATAATTTTTTTAACAAAAGTATTTTTGTTTTAAACGGTTTCAAACAGCCTTGAAAATTAATATGTTGTGTCCAACAAGTACGAACAAAAACAGTTCTAGTTCAGTTCTAGTTCAGTTCTAGTTCAGTTCTAGTTCAGTTCTAGTTCAGTTCTAGTTCAGTTCTAGTTCAGTTCTAGTTCAGTTCTAGTTCAGTTCTAGTTCAGTTCTAGTTCAGTTCTAGTTCAGTTCTAGTTCTGTTCTAGTTCAGTTCTAGTTCAGTTCTAGTTCAGTTCTAGTTCAGTTCTAGTTCAGTTCAGTTCTAGTTCAGTTCTAGTTCAGTTCTAGTTCAGTTCTAGTTCAGTTCTAGTTCAGTTCTAGTTCAGTTCTAGTTCAGTTCTAGTTCAGTTCTAGTTCAGTTCTAGTTCAGTTCTAGTTCAGTTCTAGTTCAGTTCTAGTTCTAGTTCAGTTCTAGTTCAGTTCTAGTTCAGTTCTAGTTCAGTTCTAGTTCAGTTCTAGTTCAGTTCTAGTTCAGTTCTAGTTCAGTTCTAGTTCAGTTCTAGTTCAGTTCTAGTTCAGTTCTAGTTCAGTTCTAGTTCAGTTCTAGTTCAGTTCTAGTTCAGTTCTAGTTCAGTTCTAGTTCAGTTCTAGTTCAGTTCTAGTTCAGTTCTAGTTCAGTTCTAGTTCAGTTCTAGTTCAGTTCTAGTTCAGTTCTAGTTCAGTTCTAGTTCAGTTCTAGTTCAGTTCTAGTTCAGTTCTAGTTCAGTTCTAGTTCAGTTCTAGTTCAGTTCTAGTTCAGTTCTAGTTCAGTTCTAGTTCAGTTCTAGTTTTAGTTGAACAAATCAAATGATTTTGAGACTTTTTTGTCTCTTTATTTTTAACAATATATCTTCCTTAAACAAATCTCTTTAAATTTATGTTCAAAATTCTTTAAAAAATAGCTTTTGCCATCCCTCATTAATATAATTTTCCGAGTTATTTAGTTCCACTTAATAACATTTTTCTTTTCTTTCTTTGGTAATATCAATTTATTACTTCACCTTTATAGCTATTACTCTCAAACGAATTTTATTACTACCTGCTAATAAAAAATAGTAATAAACTACTGGAGAAAAAACTAAAGATTATAATGCACACATATACCACCGATTAATGGTCTCATTAGAAAGTAACTTGTTAAACATGCAACATAGATAGAGCTCAACTTAACAGCTTGTTAAATGTGCATCTTGAACTGTTGCATCATTATGGAGTTCATTCAGACATGCATCTTTTTCCAACAAACAATCAAACAAATATTCATTTATTCATTCCGTCAAACGAATTGGGAATTTTTATGGAAAATCTACAAAAATCCATTCAAAATAACATGTTGAACATAGACAGAAACACACACACACACATACACAGCAATTGGCTCTCCTCATTGTCAGTGTTGTTTGCTATTAAATATTTATTGTTGTTGTTTTTGTAGTTTGGGAATTTTTGAAAACATAATGATCAGCAATAAGAAAAATTATTACATTGTTGTTGTTGTTTTCAGCTTTTTCAGTTATGTAATCTTTATTTTCAGTTTGTTATAGTTTTTATTGTACTTGTTGTTGTTATTGTAATCTATGAACCTGTACTATATAGACAAATGCAACAATACTTAATACTTGCCACCAAAACACTAATGAGAGTAATTAATCAGTCAACAATTATGTTGTAGAGATGCAACTACCAAAAACCGGTACTTTTGGAAAGGACATGGGGACCTTAAAGGGCCACCTTTTCCCTCTTTTTAACATAATATTTTTGGCATTTCTCTAAAAATTTTCTAAAGAAGTTTGTTTAAAAGGTCCATGTTCCAAGTCGCACGATTTTGAAACTTTGTTCCAAATCGAATTTTGAAAAGTATTTTATTAAAAATATGGTCTAAATCGAAGATTTTGTTAATTTTGTAAAGAAGATAGTTTAACTAACTTAAAGATTTTGAAAATTTCCTAAAGAAATTTGTTTCAAATCGAAAGAAAATTGTTCTAAAGTGAACGATCTTGAAAATTTTTTGAAGAAAATTGTTCCAAATTTTTTAAAAAAATTAAAAAGTTAGTTAGTTAGTTAGTTAGTTAGTTAGTTTAGTTAGTTAGTTAGTTAGTTAGTTAGTTAAGTTAGTTAGTTAGTTAGGTAGGTTAGTTAGTTAGTTAGTTAGTTAGTTAGTTAGTTAGTTAGTGAGTTAGTTAGTTAGTTAGTTAGTTAGTTAGTTAGTTAGTTAGTTAGTTAGTAGTTAGTTAGTTAGTTCGTAGTTAGTAGTTAGTTAGTAGTTAGTTAGTTAGTTAGTTAGTTAGTTAGTTAGTTAGTTAGTAGTAGTTAGTTAGTTAGTTAGTTAGTTAGTTAGGTTAGTTAGTTAGTTAGTTAGTTAGTTAGTTAGTTAGTTAGTTAGTTAGTTAGTTAGTAGTTAGTTAGTAGTTAGTTAGTTAGTTAGTTAGTTAGTTAGTAGTTAGTTAGTTAGTTAGTAGTTAGTTAGTTAGTTAGTTAGTTAGTTAGTTAGTTAGTTAGTTAGTTAGTTAGTTAGTTAGTTAGTTAGTTAGTTAGTTAGTTAGTTAGTTAGTTAGTTAGTTAGTTAGTTAGTTAGTTAGTTAGTTAGTTAGTTAGTTAGTTAGTTAGTAGTTAGTTAGTTAGTTAGTTAGTTAGTAGTTAGTTAGTTAGTTAGTTAGTTAGTTAGTTAGTTAGTTAGTTAGTAGTTAGTAGTTAGTTAGTTTAGTTAGTTAGTTAGTTAGTTAGTTAGTTAGTTAGTTAGTTAGTTAGTTAGTTAGTTAGTTAGTTAGTTAGTTAGTTAGTTAGTTAGTTAGTTAGTTAGTTAGTTAGTTAGTTAGTTAGTTAGTTAGTTAGTTAGTTAGTTAGTTAGTAGTTAGTTAGTTAGTTAGTTAGTTAGTTAGTTAGTTAGTTAGTTAGTTAGTTAGTTAGTTAGTTAGTTAGTAGTTAGTTAGTTAGTTAGTTAGTTAGTTAGTTAGTTAGTTAGTTAGTTAGTTAGTTAGTTAGTTAGTTAGTTAGTTAGTTAGTTAGTTAGTTAGTTAGTTAGTTAGTTAGTTAGTTAGTTAGTTAGTTAGTTAGTTAGTTAGTTAGTTAGTTAGTTAGTTAGTTAGTTAGTTAGTTAGTTAGTAGTTAGTTAGTTAGTTAGTTAGTTAGTTAGTTAGTTAGTTAGTTAGTTAGTTAGTTAGTTAGTTAGTTAGTTAGTTAGTTAGTTAGTTAGTTAGTTAGTTAGTTAGTTAGTTAGTTAGTTAGTTAGTTAGTTAGTTAGTTAGTTAGTTAGTTAGTTAGTTAGTTAGTTAGTTAGTTAGTTAGTTAGTAGTTAGTTAGTTAGTTAGTTAGTTAGTTAGTTAGTTAGTTAGTTAGTTAGTTAGTTAGTTAGTTAGTTAGTTAGTTAGTTAGTAGTTAGTTAGTTAGTTAGTTAGTTAGTTAGTTAGTTAGTTAGTTAGTTAGTTAGTTAGTTAGTTAGTTAGTTAGTTAGTTAGTTAGTTAGTTAGTTAGTTAGTTAGTTAGTTAGTTAGTTAGTTAGTTAGTAGTTAGTTAGTTAGTTAGTTAGTTAGTTAGTTAGTTAGTTAGTTAGTTAGTTAGTTAGTTAGTTAGTTAGTTAGTTAGTTAGTTAGTTAGTTAGTTAGTTAGTTAGTTAGTTAGTTAGTTAGTTAGTTAGTTAGTTAGTTAGTTAGTTAGTTAGTTAGTTAGTTAGTTAGTTAGTTAGTTAGTAGTAGTTAGTTAGTTAGTTAGTTAGTTAGTTAGTTAGTTAGTTAGTTAGTTAGTTAGTTAGTTAGTTAGTTAGTTAGTTAGTTAGTTAGTTAGTAGTTAGTTAGTTAGTTAGTTAGTTAGTTAGTTAGTTAGTTAGTTAGTTAGTTAGTTAGTAGTTAGTTAGTTAGTTAGTTAGTTAGTTAGTTAGTTAGTTAGTTAGTTAGTTAGTTAGTTAGTTAGTTAGTTAGTTAGTTAGTTAGTTAGTTAGTTAGTAGTTAGTTAGTTAGTTAGTTAGTTAGTTAGTAGTTAGTTAGTTAGTTAGTTAGTTAGTTAGTTAGTTAGTTAGTTAGTTAGTTAGTTAGTTAGTTAGTTAG